GAAATCCTGCACAGGGAGGGAAAGAACCAGCGTGGAAAACCGAAATGGCCAAAACCAAGGGAGAAGTGGCAAAAATTGGGATGTGTTGGGGCCATGGGACGGGAAAGAGGGGGCGGACACAGTTGGAATGACGAGTGTTGGGTGTCGATCCCGTTGCTGCCCATCATCTTCCACTGCCCTAACGAAGGGATAATTCATGGAAATCCACGGAAACGAACAGGATTTGACCCAAGCAATGCCAGGCAGGTGCTCAGCTCCACTTCCCAGAGCTCCGACTCAGGAATGTCCACAGTGGGGTCATCCCGTTTTCCCGCTATTTTTTGCCATCCACCATACTCATCATTCCAACTGTGTCCTCCCCCTCCTTCCCATCCCTTGGCCCCAACACATCCCAATTTTTGCCACTTCTCCCTTTTTTTTGGCCATTTCAGTTTTCCACCCTGCTTCTTTCCCTCCCTGTGTAAGATTTCCATAATTCTCCTTGACTTGGCATATCTGCAGCAGATGGACAACAACAGGCTTGACACTTGTCATTCCAGTGGTGATCCTTCTCTTTCCCATCCCTTGGCCCCAACACATCCCAGTTTTTGCCATTTCTCCCTTTTTTCCCCCTATTTAATTTTTCCACCCTGGTTCTTTCCCTCCCTGTTCAGGATTTCCATAAATTCTTGATTTGGGAAGCAGATGGACAACAACAGGCTCAACACTCATCATTCCAACAATGTCCTCCCACTCAGCCTCATCCCACACCACCTCAGCCCTCTGGAAAAGACTTCCTTGAGCCACTCCAGCTCCTTTAACACTTCCCATTATCCCTCTTCGGGAAGAGCCGAGCGATTCATTTCCCGAGTTCCCCTCTCGGCTTTTCTTGCTGAAGCCAAAGTTTCGCGGCCGCGCTCCGGGAAATTTATTTCCTTAATTATTATTCATTTAAGAGGGTTCCGCGGATTCCGAGGATCAGCACTCGGAGCTGCCGGGGGTAATTTATTTCCCTCGTCGGAGAGAAACAAGCCCTCGCTCCGGAAAAGGTACCGGCAAAAAAAAAAAGGGATGAACTGCCCGCTAGATTTTCCCCGTTTTCCTGCCCAGTCCCCCCCCGCATCCCAGGAATGGGGTGGGTGGTCATGAGGGTTTTATTAACGAAGAAACCTCAATTAATGAGGTCCAGATTCCAAGTTCTGTCAGCAGATGATGGGAAGGAGCCTGGAGTAAGATCCGATCCCTGAAATTCCGGAGTTGAGGGATCGGGGATCGAAAGGGGGGGAAGGGATTGAGGAATCCCAAAGCCAAGGGATTGAGATTGGAGGGGCCAAAGGGTTGAGGTCAAGAGGGGTAAGGCAGAGCAATCTCAAAACCATGGGTCTGAGTGTGGAAAGGGTCAAGGGATTGAGCTCAAAGGGGTCAAGGGATTGAGGAATCCCAAAACCAAGGGATTGGGACTGAAAGGGATCAAAGGATTGAGATTGAAGGGGCCAAGGGATCCCACAATCCCAAAACCAAGGGATTGAGACTGGACGGCCCAAAGGGTTGAGGTCAAGAGGGGTAAGGCAGAGCAATCCCAAAATCATAGGATTGAGTGTGGAAAGGGTCAAGGGATTGAACTCAAAGGGGTCAAGGGATTGAGGAATCCCAAACCCAAGGAATTGGGACTGAAAGGGATCAAAGGATTGAGATTGAGAGGCCAAGGGATCCCACAATCCCAAAGACAAGGCACTGAGATTGAAGGGGCCATGGAATTGAGCTCAAAAAGGATTGAGGAATCCCAAACCCATGGGATTGACTGTAAAGGGGTCAAGGGATAGAGAAATCCCAAAAACAAGAGACTGACCCCAAAGA